CTAAGATAATTCTTATCTACTATCTAGTTAGTAAATAACCCTCACCCTCTCTCCCGACCCTCGTAACCATCAAAGAATATTTTCTTCTGTGTTTAAACCTTTTCTTGAGTTCTTATAATAGTGGTCTTATGCAATATTTGTCCTTCTGTGACTGACTAAATTCACTCAGCACAATGCCATCCAGATTCCTCCAAGTTATAAGATGTTTCACAGCTTCATCATTGCTCTTTATCGTTCTGTACTATTCCATTGTGTGGATATACTATAATTTGTTTATCCATTTATCCGTTGATGGGCACCTAGGCTGTTTCCATCTTTTTGCTATCGTGAACAGTGCTGCAATGAACATGGGTATGCATATATCTACTCATGTGACGGCTCTTATTTCTCTAGGATATACTCCGAGGAGCGGGATTGCTGGATCCTATGGTACTTCTATTTCTAGCTTATTAAGGAAGCACCAAATCAATTTCCAAAGTGGTTGTACCGTTTTACATTCCCACCAACCGTGTATAAGTGTTCCAGACGCTCCACAACCTCTCCAGCATTTATTATTTTGTGTTTTTTGGATTAACGCTAGCCTTGTTGGGGTAAGATGATATCTCATTATAGTTTTGATCTGCATTTCTCTAATGGCTAATGATCGTGAGCATTTCTTCATGTGTCTGTTAGCTGCCTGAATATCTTTGGTGAAGTGCCTGTTCATATCCTTTGCCCATTTTTTAATTGGGGTATTTGTCTTTTTGTTGTTGAAGTTTTGCAGTATCTTGTAGATTTTAGAGATTAGACGCTGATTGGATTTATCGTAGCCAAAATTTTTTTCCCAGTCTGTAGGTTGTCTTTTTACTCTTCTGGTGAAGTCTTTTGATGAGCATAAGTGTTTGATTTTTTGGAGCTCCCGTTTATCTAGTCTCTCTTCTGGTGTTTGTGCATTGTTGCTTATGGTTCATATTCTGTTTATGCCATGTGTTAGGGCTCCTAGCATTGTCCCTATTTTTTCTTCCGTGATCTTTATTGTTTTCGATTTTATATTTAGGTCTTTGATCCATTCTGAGTTAGTTTTTGTGAATGTTGTGAGGTGGTCTTGTTTCAGTTTTTTGCAGATGGATATCCAGTTATGCCAGCACCATTTGTTAAAGAGACTGTCTTTTCCCCAATTAACAGACTTTGGGCCTTTGTCAAACATCAGCTGCTCATAGGTGGATGAATTTATGTCTGGATTCTCAATTCTGTTCCATTGGTCTATGTGTCTGTTGTACCAGTACCAGACTATTTTGACCACCATGGCGGTATAATAGGTTCTAAAATCAGGTAGTGTGAGGCCTCCCACTTTTTTCTTCTTCTTGAGTAATGCTTTACTTATCCGGGGACTCTTCCCTTTCCATATGAAGTTGGTGATTT